TAGCAGCAGCTGCCTCATAAGTTCAGTTAATAACTATGTTAAGATGCATATGAAGCACTTAACACAAACTTGACAATACCATTCGTGGTTACAGGAAGGGTGCCAGGCAGAGCAAGACAGCCTGGGTGCAGATTCTGACTGATAATTCACCTTGTAAATGTGGTCATGTAACCTTTTATTCCTCAGTTTCCCTTTCTACAAATGAGAGATAATAAAAGTACTTTGGTAGGATTGTTAAAGAGAACCAATTAGACAATGTATAATATTAAGTGTCTCGTAAGCACTGTGTAAGTGTGAACTCATTTTTAACAGAATAACCACAACTAATTGTCAATTCAGATGTAGGCCTGACCCCAGGACAAAATACTATTTTGGTCAATGTGCTTTATACTAAGACAGAAAAATGACAAACTGAACTTGACGATTTGTTTGTATTATTTTCACTAAAATTTGTATGTGTGTGTATATGTTTGAGAGCATATCTCACATAGCCCAGGCTGGCCTCAAACTCATTATGTATCTCAGGATGCCTTGAGCTTTTCATTCTCCTCTCTCCACTTCCCTAGTGCTAGGATTGCAGGTGTGCACCACCATGCCCAGTGTATTAGTCAGGGTTCCCAATGCTGTGATGATACACCATGACCAAAGTAACCTGGGGAAGAAATCTCATGAAAGGAAGTCAGGGTAGGAGCTCAAACAGGGCAGGAATCTGGAGGCAGATGCTGGGGCAGGGAGGCGGGGAGTGCAGCTTACTGTCTGGCTCTTTAAAGCTTGCTCAGCCTGGTTTCTTATAGAACCCACGACAACCACCACAATGGGCTGGGCCTTCCCACAGCAATCACTAATTAAGAAAATGTTCTGCTGGTTGGCCCACAGCCTGATCTGATGGAAGCATTTTCTCAATTGAGGCTCTCTAAATGACTTTAACTGTGTCAAGTTGACATAAAACTAGCTAGTACACCCAGCTTGAAAATTTTATTGCGAGCCAATGCAACACATGTACATATTTCTAAAGGTTAAATAATGTTAGTCTCCCGCTAGAGCAGACTGGTTCTTCAAGCTTCCACATGGAGAGCTACACATGAACCTACCACAAACCCTCTTGCAAGTAGCTGAGCTTATAGATGTGGCATCAGGTTTGCACCTTTTTTTAAATTTTATTATGATTATGTATATGAGTATGGGCACACACTGGTGTGGGGGTTGGAACAAATTTCTGTTCTCTCATCCCACCTTTACATGGGTTTTGGGAATTGATTCAACTTATTAGGCTTGTGTAGCATGTACTTCTGCCCACTAGGCCATCTCACCTGCCCATTTTTTAAGTATTATTATTATTATTATTGTGTATGGATATTTTGCTTGCATGCATGTCTATGCACCAAGTGTATGCCTGCTGCCCTCAGAGGGGTGGTGGAACCCTGGGACTGGAGTTACAAAATTGAGCTGCATTGTAGGTGCTGAGAACTTAAGTTGGGTCCTCTTGAAGAGCAGCTAGTGAGTGCTCTTAAACACAGCCATCTCTCCAGCCTTGAGTTTTGCTTTTTTGTTTTGTTATTAAAGACAGGGTTTTTCTGTGTAGCTCTGGCTGTCCTGAAACTTGCTCTGTAGGCCAGGCTGGCCTTGAACTCCTAGAGATCTGCCTGCCTCTGCATCCCAAGTGCTGAGATAAAAGGCATGCGCCACCCTGATCTTCAATTTATTATTTTGCTGAGAATGACCTTCAATTTCTGATTCTCCAGCCTCCACCTCCTAAATGCTGGGATTAAAGGGGTATGCCACCACACCCAGGTTACCCCATAAGGAGGTATGATGTGTCAAGTTGACAAGGGTCAGATTTGTGACGGCTATTCTTAGTTGTCAACTTGACTACACCTGGAATTAACTAAAACTCAAAGCAGCTAGGTGCACCTGTGAGGGATTTTTTCTGAATTAAATAATTTGAAGTGTGAAGACCCACCCTAAATCAGAATCTTTTGAGGTGGGAAATTTCACCTTTAATCTGGGCCACACTTTTTATTGACGGCCTATATAAGAATATGAAAGAACTCTCTCTCCCTTTCTGCCTGCCTGCCTTTCTCTTGCTGGCAAGTCCATTCCTTCACTGACATTAGAGTCTACTTCTTTGGGAAGACCAGCTGAGACATCCAGACTCGTGGACTGAACAACTATTGGATTTTTGGACTTTCTGTTGTTAAGACAACTATTGTTGGATTAGCTGGACCACAGCCTGTAAGCCATTCTAATAAATCCCCTTTATCTATATAGATAACATATAATCTATAAATTCATTCTATTAATTCTGTTCCTACAAAGAACCTTAAGCAATACACTCCTCACATTTTTTTTTCTTTTCCTTTTTTGGCAAGATCTCACTGTGTAGCCTTGATTGGCCTAGAACTTTCTGTGTAGACCAGGCTGGCCTCGAACTCACAGAGATCTGCCTGCTTCTGCCTCCCCGTGCTGGGATCAAAGGCGTGTACCACCATACTCTTCTTTCCTCCCAATTCTTGGACCACAAGAAAGCTTTTCAACTGTTACAGTTTCTTCTAGTATTTAAAGCCATCTTAAAAAGAATGTGTTTTGTCACTTTTGTCGCTGCTTCCTGACTTTCTCATTTTAAAGAAAGATCAGTTTGCACTTTCACATACGGCCATCCCACATGGCTCCTCCATCCTCCTATAGGCAGCATTTTTCTTCCAGTATTTACATTAAGACTATTCTAAGTACAGTTCCAGAATACATATCCTTCTTGTACAATTTGAGTGTTTTGTTTGTTTGGTTTTGGCAGACTTTCTGCTGTGAAGCCTGGGCTGGCCTCAAATTCAAGATCTACCTGCCCCAACCTCCCAAGCTCTGAAATTACAGGCATTTCCTTGGATAGCCAGAGGCATTTCCTTGATGCCTATATATCTGAACATTTTTTAACAATAAATTTGCAAGTGTGTGAGGTAAAGAGAGCTGGAGTTCTAGGCCAGCATAGGTACACAGCAAGGCTCTTTTGTTTTGTTTTTAGAGGCAGGGTTTCTCTGTGTAGCTTTGGAGCCTGTCTAGAACTCACATTGTAGAGCAGGCTAGCCTTGAACTCATAGAGATCCACCTGCTTCTGTATCCTGTGTGCTTGGATTAGAGGCGTGGACCACCACCTGGCTCACAGCAAGACTCTTAAATAATTAATAAACAGTTTTGGTCCTGCAGATGTCACTTAGTGGTACGATACTTGCCTAGCATGTATGAAAGCCCTGGGTTGGATCCCCAGCACCAGAAAAAAAAAAAAAATCTGTTTTGCAAGAAAATTGAGAAATAGTAAGTCTATTATCACTACAGAAACAGGTGGTGGCATCAATTTATAATTGCAACACTAGGTAGGCTGAAGAAGTGAAGATGGGTGTTGAATTCAGAGGCCATTCTGGGCTACATGGTTAGGCCTTGTCTCAAAAAGTAAAATCAAAACAAAAAAAGAACCAAAAAAAAAAAAAAAGAAAGAAAGAAAAGAAAAGAAAAAACCTCAGCCAGCCAGGTTCAAATTCTGCCCCCAACCCCTATGTGATTTTCCGACTCAGTAGTAAAATCTGGAAAACCTGGACATCCCATGTTACTCGGGAACTACAGTAAAAATAAAGATCAGTAATGTCTGGGGCCATCAGTCACTTGGTAACACACAGCAAGTGTCACATAAAAAAGTTCTACAACTGCATTTATAATTCATCAGAAAAACAATTGTTGTCTCTTTTCAGTGCTTTATAAAATAATTGCATTGTTTTTTAAATTCCTTTATGTGTATGGGTGTTTTGCCCGCATAAGTCTGTGCATCACTTATGAACAATGACTGTAGAGGTCAGAAGAAGATATTGAGTTGTGAGTTATCATGTGGGTACTGGGGCTCGAACATAGGTCCTTTGGAAGAACAACCAGTGCTATTAACTGCTGAGCCATCTCTTTAGCTTCAAGAATTAAGTTTCGAGATGCATGTAAGTAAAACCAACCAACCAACCAACCAACCAACCCACAGCAGGGCAGTGGTGGTGCATGACTTTAATCCTAGCACTTCAGAGGCAGACACAGGCAGATTTCTGAGTTTGAGGCCAGCCTAGTCTACAGAGCAAGTTCCAATACAACCAGGGCTACAGAGAATCCATCTCAAAAAACTTAAGGAAAAAAAAAAAGCACATAAGGGACTAAATCAAGCCAGCTTTGAATACACAGAACAGACACCTATCTAGCTAAATGATGTCAGACTTTAATAAATTATGTGGGGTTTTCCAACCTTAAATTTGTGTAAATGGAATCACAGCCTTGTCAGATTATCATACATCAAGCAAGATTTGTCACGAAACTACCAAACAGCAGGAAGAGTGCCCTGATAATGAATTCTTATTAGTATCAGAGATTAAACATTAGGTTCAAATGCTGGCATTAAGAATGGGGCTATCCCTTCCTGTCACTAATCCCTGATTCCTGTGGTAGTGGAATCACCAGGTCCTAATGAGTGATCTACTCTGACCTAATGTTGGTCATGCTAGAAGGCTATCAGTATGAGATAGAGGTAATTATTAAAAGGGTTGGTTTATTTCCCTTGCTTCATACAATCACTAGAACCTCAACCTCTGTTTAAATTTCCCCAGCAGTTTAGCTAGTTCCAAAAAAAGCAATCATTTGAGGCCCAGCACTACAGATAATAAAACATTACCTCAAGTTAGCTTTTCTTTACCAGTAGAAATAGAACTCCAAATTGTTTTCTGGTTCCTACTTCATATCCCTTAACATGGCAGAACTGGGATAGCTGTATCTTGCAACTCTCAAATGAGAGGTCCATTTCCAACAAGAGCCCTGAGGAGCCACAGCACACTTGGGTTAAACAAATGTTGGCAGAGATACACAGAAGAATTGTGTGCACCCTAACTGTTCTCATTTGGAATACCTGAGAAGTACAGCACCCCAATATTTCTTTAAAAAAAAAAGTTGATTTTTTTTTTTTAAAAGCAACTGTAGTCAGGACAAGAAAAGGAAAACAGTATCTTTATTGTGTAGTTCTAACAAACATTCACTGTGTGCACATTCCAGTAGAAAGAGACAAAGATCTTTGTTCAAAATAAGCTGAAATCAAATAGGTAAACAAACTCCATCATTGAATACACAAAAGGAATGTTAATATTAGTCACTCACAGTTGAGGGTGCAGTAAAAAGCAAGTTAAATAACTGAAATGATGTTCTGCCTGAGCAGCCACTGTAGGCGATGTAGGCGTGGGCAAGGACGGGCCACTGAAATTCATGAGTAAGACACTGGGCATAAGGCAGGTGACTGGCACATCTCTGCTTCTTCAGAACCCCCTCCAGGGCCACCCCCATAAATTCCAAAGCTGGCCAAATATGACGGAGCTCTCCGTTACTTTGAGATATTTGGCAACTGAATCACATAGCTTCAAAACTTCAGTTTCTTGTTGAGACATGACATGTCTGACTCCATTTCCCTTGGGTAGGAAGCAAAGAACATTCATGTTCTGTGCTTCAGTCACCTCAGGTGGACTTCAGCCAGATGGGTACACCTGAGATGAAGTATGGATGCCATGTGTGATGACTTGAAAAAGCACTTCTCACTGCTCCCAGCACTGAATGAGCACAAACCCAGCATCATACGCCCGGGTGGCAACTGCTCAAAGAGCCTGCCTACCAGCTCAAATGATAGCTTTGGACAGACTTGTCTGCTCAAGTAATCACACAAGGAGTTGTAAACACAGTCCACAAACAAACTTTGTCCCACTGCATTCTTTACAAACGTGAAGTCACTTGGGAAGAAGAAACCAGCTCCCAGGACCAGATAAGAACTTTTAGAGAATGGGCATTAACACCCTGTGTCTTGATAGCACAAATTCCCTTTTGTGTTCACCAGATGTTAACTTGTATGGTGTGGTGGCAGCTGGCCACTTCAGGAATAAACAACCAAACACCCCACAGGTTGGGGTACTGTCAGCCAACAGGGACTGGCTCCTCTTGCTCTCAGTGAGTTAGCATAACCCATAAATGTCAAGGCTTCTTTGACAAGTTCTGTCCTTTTTAATGCAGCTGGTACACATACTATATTGCTTTCTTTAGGAAAAGCTTCAACAAAATCTCACCTAAGACCTACCTCTCCCCCTAGCTGTTTATGTAAGCAACAGAATTACAGCAAATAAACCTAAAAGGGGTTGGGGAATTTGTTTTGAGACAAGAGTCTCACTATGTGGCTTTGGCTGGCCTGGAGCTTGCTATGTAGACCAGGCTGGCCTACAACTCAAGAACTGTTTGCCTCTGCTTCCCAAGTGCTGGGAATAAAGTCATGTACCACCATGCCTGCTCCCCACCCCCCAAAAAAGCAGCATGTTTTTTATAATATGATATCACATTATCAGTAGTTCAAAAGAAGCCCTGGGTATTAGATGGATTACATAAATGGCAAAGACAAAGTAGGAAATTTTTTTCCTTCTGGCTCTCAGTAGAAGAAACAAGCTCAGATAAAAGCAGGAAAAGAACATAGATGTGAAATAGAAAAACACCATTTTTGTATTGATGTTTACTATAGAAATATCAAAACACGATTTTACTTAAAAAATACAGTTCTTTTTTTTGTGTGTGTGTGTGCTGGGGGTGTTTTTGAGACAGGGTCTCTCTATATAGTTCTGGCTGTCCTGGAACTCCCTCTGTAGACCAGGCTGGTCTCAAACTCAGGGAACCTCCTGCCTCTGTCTCCCAAGTGCTGGGATTAAAAGTGTGTGCCACCACCACCCAGCTAAAAAACAGTTCTTAACATTTCCTATAGCCAGATGTTTTTCAGTGTCTGTAAAGAGATTGCCAACACACATTCATAACTGATCTAAGTTATCTTCAGGCTTAGTGTCAGCATGAATGTTACCTGCACTTGACTGAACCTTTGTTCTTTCCATCTACCCAACATATTGAATGTAGCTTAGCTATCACAGCAAGTGAACCCCAGGCCTCACTGCACACAGACCTTCCTTGCCTTTAAGTGGAGGCAGTCAAGCCACTTTTGTTACAGAATAACTACTCTTTCAATCTACTATATTACAAAATTTCTAAAGATAAAAGTGATTAAGTCTGTATCCCTGATATATAGAAATCATCTAGAAATTAAAATATCATATCCGAGTATTCAAGGAAAAGGCTAATGTTATTTTGATGAATTCTGAACTTATTCAATTGCTAAATCACAGAATAAAAGTCCTGGGCTGAACTTTTTCTTAAATAGTTTGCATGGGCAGACTGGTTTAATGTGCAGTTTCCTGTCCCGTCAAGCCCCTGGCAAGCTGGAAGGGAGGCAGGAGACACTTCCCAGCATTTCTGGTCTTTCTAGAATTCAATGGCTTCCTGCTGGACATGACAACAGTCCAGAAGCAGATTGGTAATGAACAAAGGATGTGGAGGAAAATCATAGATAATGGGTAAAAAATAACTGGGAAACTGTCAGGTACTCCCACAGGGAAAAGAATAAAGTCAAAGAAGCCAGGAAAATGCCCGGACCAAGGAGAAACAGTAATTTTAAATGATTAACTACTCTCCAATGAAATACATATCCAAGGAAGGAGGGAAAAGCTTCCAGATTTATCATTATAATTCTCAGAAAAAGAGTAGAACAAAATCACCAAGTTGAAGCCATGAAAGTAAAACAGAAAACAGAAGTCTCTTGGCAAGGTCTCCTATCTTAAGTGGCATGCCCCAACAATGACATTTACATGTTAGTTATTTTATTGAGATAAGGCCAAACTTGAGTTTCTTACTTTGGTAAAACAGGGAATTAAAAATTAATCAGTAAACGAAAAAGCAGCAAGAGCCTTCCATGAAGCTGCATGAACACAACCACAGACTACAGTGACACTCCATGGTAACACTCTTTCACCAGTAGAGACAGTCAGGGTGGAGGATCGTTAGTAACTGGTGTCACACCACAGAGAGCGTGCCAGTCACTCTTTAAACTGCTGTCCTGTAAGCGGTGTTTGTTCTCTTTTTAAAAGAGATCATTCTGAATTCACTTTAACTCACTGATCCCTTCTTTGGCTCTTGTACATCTCAGAAACCAAAGGGATGCAGTTTGTAAAGTACTCTTGGGAAGAAAGGGGCTGGACTTAGGGATAGGAGGGAGCAATCAGCTACACTATCTGGAAGGGAGAAAACCACATAGTACTTTTATTTAAATTTTTATTTCTTTTGTATATTTTTTTAAATTACATTTATTTAGTGTATGCTTGTGCCTCTGTGTGTTATGTCTCAATGTGTGTACCTGTGTGTATATACAGGTGTCTGTGTTACATTAGGGCCATACCATACATGTGGAGGTCAGAGGGCAACTTTTGGGAACTGGTTGTCTCCTTCTACCGTGTGTGTCCAGGGAATCAAATTCAGGTCATCAGGCTTTGCAGCAATTGCTTTTACCCAATGGTCTATCTTGCTTCCCCTTACTTTAATAATCATAAATAGGATCATTTGGCAGCTGTGTTTTAAATAAGACAGACACATCTTAACTTCATGAAAACCCGTTATGATAAATGACAAAATTAAATCAGAATTAAAAAATAAATTTACTTAAAAGAAAAATGGGGAAAAGATTCAAAACTAGAGTACTGTTCCCTTAAATATACCTAATGTGAACTGAGAGTATCAGAAATTATATACTGTCCCCAAAGGCCATGTCTCTACAACACAGGAACTCTATAGTCATCAACATAAACTCTGAAATGAAGGGAACAGGTGGAAGCCAGTGAGAAGAAACCCTGGCAAGGACACAACATGAGCAGGTGCTTTGGGCATCAGCCTCTGGCTGGTGAAAGACCCTGGTCCTAGACTGAAGGATAGATATCTAGTCAAACATCTTGGCTCCAAGGGGGGTGGGGAGGGGGAGAAACTGGCAGGATTCAAGGAGGAAGCATTGTTGCAGCCTCCAAAGTAAGTCTCAACTTCTCAATTCCAGGAGCACGCACTCCCACACTTCAGCATGGTCTCGTCTCCTCAGGAGGATTTGTTGTCGGCCGTGAAGTGACGATACAGGAAACCTACAAGAATAGCGCCCACGATGGGGAGAATCCAATATGCCCAGCAACTAGAAGTAGGATGAAAAAGCGATGAAGTTAAGAGTATTTTATCCAAATAATAGTATGCTTTTCAGTACCCATGTTTTAAAACTCATGAGAAAAGAGTCTTGATTTTCTCTTAGTTAAACTTTTACCACACAGCATCTGAAAGGAAAACATTTGTGTTTGTGTACATATGTGCTCAGGCATGGCACTATGTGCATGTGGAGTCAGACGGCAACATGTGGCAGTTGGTTCTCTCCCACCACACAGGAACTTGAATTACCAGACTTAGCAGGTGTCTTTACTTGTTGAGCCATCTTGGAGGGCCCTAAAGCCCTTCTTTAGAAAGGATGTAAAAAAATAAAAAAAGATTTAGTTTGCTGGGTGGTGGTGGCGCACTCCTTTAATCCCAGCACTTGGGAGGCAGAGGCAGACGGATCTCTGTGAGTTTGAGGCCAGGCTGGTCTACAGAGCGAGTTCCAGGACAGCCAGAACTGTTAGACAGAAAAACCATCTCAAAAAACAACAACAACAAAATAAAACAAAACAAAATTTAACTTGCAGGGTGAGGTCGTGTATGCCTTTAACCCCAGCACTCTGGAGGCAAAAGCAAGTAAATCTCTGAAAGTTCAAGACCGCCACACAGTGGCACGCATCTCAAAAAAAAAAAAAGAAAAAGAAAAAAGAAAAAAAAGTAGTTCCGTGGTAGAATGCTTACCACCACGCAGAAGGTCCTGAGTTTGAACCCTAGCACCACAACATAAGAAAGAGAATGCATAATATGTTATCAAAACAGATATATAAGCTGGACAGAGTAGTACATGCCTGCAAACCCAGCACTCTGGAAGCTGAGGCAGGAGAATTGTTGCAACTTAAAGGCTAGCTTGGGCTACACTGTAAATGCCAGTCCAACACCAGCTATCGCCAGCTGTCAAACAACAAACAGAACACACACACACACACACACACACACACACACACACACACACACACACATACATCCCATAATCTCAGCACTTGGATACTAAGGGAGGAAGATCAGAGTTTAAGGACTAGGAGATAGTAAGTTAAGGACTTAAGTGTGAGCCCAGAACTCAAGTAAAACTTCAGGGAACAGTGGTTATGCTTGAAATTTCAGTGCTAGGAGATAAAGATGGGCAGATCCCTGGTACGTGCCAGTGTAGGCAAACTAGTAAGCTCCAGAACAGTGAGAAGCCAAGTCTCGGAGATAGACAGTTTTCTGAGGGTGAAATCTGCACATCCCATGCATGCATATGCACACAGAGACACACAAACATTAAAAAACAAAAAAAAGTTCAAAGTTGCTCTGGTGTTTCCACTACATATACTTAAATACTTTTCTAGGTGTTTCTATGAAGACATACTGGTTATTTCTGGGTTATGAGGTTATAGATATTAAAATCTGCCTTTGAGATTTTTACAAATCTCAAAGATTATTACAAGTATTACAGTATTAGTTTTATGTGTATGCTGCTAGGGGCAAGACCCCAGATAGATATTAATATTATCTATCTTATTGCAAGTTTAGAAGCAACACAATCTTTGCACCCTAAGTAAGAGGCTGGTAATGGGAGTCAGGTAGCCAAGCTTTCAATGTCTAGTTTTATTTGTTATTTTTTAAAGATGTATTATTTATTTTATATCTGAGCTTTTTTGTCTGCATGATGTATGGCACCATGTGGGTTCGTGGCACCCTCAGGTCAGAAGTCAGATCTCCCTGGAACTGGAGTTGTGGATGGTTGTGAGCCACCATGTGGCTGCTAGGGAACAAATTCAGGTCTTCTACAAGAGCAGCAATTGCTCTTAACTACTGAGCCATCTCTCTAACCCCTTAATGTCTAGTTTTAATTTCTTGGAAACTAATGAGGATATACAAAAAGCACACAGGTTGTTCTTAAAAGAAGTTAATCAAGTGGCAATACCATGGGAAGTACTGTAGGTGAATTCTCTTAGGAGTTTCAGAGCAGACACTATTGTCCTTAAAACAATTCCTAGTAGCCAGGCGGGGGTGGTGCACACCTTTGAGCCCAGCACTCAGGAAGCAGAGACAGATCTCTGTGAGTTCGAGGCCAGCCTGGTCTACAGAGTAAGTTTCAGGACAGGCTCCAAAGCAATACAGAGAAACCCTGTCTCAAAAAACAAAAGCAAACCTAATTCTTAGTGTATGCACACACACACACACACACACACACACACACACATACACACACACTTATGGGAATGGGTGTTTGATGTTTATATAAATCCCTACACACTTGCATGCCTTCTGCCTGAGAAGATCAGAAGAAGGTGTCAGATTCTCTGGAACTAGAGTTACAGATGGTTGTGAGCTGCCATGTGGGTGCAGGGAACTGAACGTAGACCCTCTAGAAAAGCAGCAAGTGCTCTTAATTGCTGAGCCATCTTTCCAGTCTCCTTAAAACAATTCTTTAATAGAGCTTATTAGCTCTGTTCAGCTTAAGCTGTGAGGCTTTTTGTGATCCAAATGATTTGGCTGCCCCTCTAGTTAACATATCTAGTCTTGGCATGAAAACATTCCAAACCAATAAAGCCAGCTGATATTGTTAACAAAACTTATTCTCTTTGCCTACCTAGACAGATCTAGCACAGTGTACACAAAAGTACAGTGTCAAGTTACTTCTAACAAATGAAAATGACAGGCAAACAGGCAGCTCTGCTTAAAAAGCCAAGACATCGAGGTGTTTTCTGCCTGCATGTATATATGCACACCACATGAGTTCCTGGAGCTCTCAAAGGTAAGAAGGTGCTAGGTCCTCTAAAACTGAGATATATAGCTGGTAGTGAACTGCCATGAGAGTGCTGGAATCAAACACGGGTCATCTCCAAGAGCAGTGTTCTTTACCACTGAGCCATCTCTCCAGCCCCAGCTATAAACATTCATGTATCTGTTTCCTTGTACTTTTCTTTTGTACCATAGTCATACTATGCTGCCAAGGTTGGTCTCAAAACTCCTGGGTCAAAGAATCCTCTCCAGTAGCTGGGACTATAAGGCAGGCATACTATACTACACTCTGATTTGTGACATGTTCTATAGAAATGGAATTGTTAAGTCAAAAATTATTTATGAACACTGTCAAAATGGGTCCCAAAGTGAATGTTCCCAGAAGAGGGAGTAAGAGTCTTGGTAACTAACTCCTAATAAGCAAGTCTTCTTATGTGTAAGAACTCTATAGTTTTTGCCCACCTACTAGGTTCGAAATAGACCTATGATTTTTAATGATATGATATTAAACCTTTTCCCACATGCTTATATCTGTGTAAAGTATTTAAATTAAAATCTTTTTGCAAATTCTATTGAGATTTGTTTGTTTTTGTTTTTGAGACAGGGTTTTTCTGTGTTAACTTTTGAAGTCTGTCCTAGAACTCACTTTGTAGACCAGGCTGGCCTCGAACTCACAGACATCCACCTGCCTCCCTGGTGCTGGGATTAAAGGTGTGCGACACCACCACCCAGCTCTATTGAGATATTTTTAAAACTTCATTTGTAGGATTCTTTTTTTTTTTTTTTTGGATAATAATTCTTTTAAAAACATTGATTCTTTGAAAATGTCATACATTTGTTATATTTTGATGGTATCCTTCCACTACTAACCCCCTACAACTCTCGAGGGCATAGGTTTTCATACTGTCGGTTTCAACCCCTTTGGGGGTCAACCAACCCTTTCACAGGGATCACTTAAGACTGTCTGAAAACACAGATATTTACATTATGATTTCCAACAGTTGCAAAATTACAGTTATGAGGTAGCAATGAGAATACCTTTATGGTTGGAGGACAGCACAACATGATGAACTCTAAAGGATCACAGCATTAGGAGGTGGAGAACCACTGCTGTGGGGCTTCCATCCTGTCTCCCTCCCAACTTCACCTCCTCTTTTTAAAAGAATTAATACTCTTTCTTCCCCCAAACGAATTACTGCTGCCTCTATCTGCATAGAAAGTCTGTGCTTTGCTTTTTCTTTTTAAAATTTATGCATATAGGCATTTTACCTTCATACCTGTCTGTCTAAATGTGCATGCCTAATTCCCAGAGGCCAGAAGAGGGCATCAGATCCCACCCCCATCCCAGAGCTGGAGTTAGAGATGGTTGTGAACCACCATGTAGGTGCTGGGATGCAAATCCAGGTCCTCTAGAAAAGCAGCCAGTACTCTTACTGCTGAGCCATCTCTCCAGCCCAAAACATGCATACTTAAAAAGAACCTCTTGCTAGACATTATGTAGACTGTAAGAAAGTCCATTAGGGAGATACTAACCTTTTGGATGTCCTGCTTTTTGAAGGATCCTGAAGAAGTCACATGTTAAAAAATAACAGAAAGAGAACATTAGCACAGTGCATTTAAGTCTTCTTGGATATCTATAAACTGTAGCTCATAACAGAATTTCCTTTATACATTTGATGCCCACAGCCTCTAGGTATGGTAATCTTTTATTTCTAATAACACATTGGTATTTCTTAGTGAATAACTACTAAAGAGAACACAGAAATAACCTAAGTTTTTTACATGTAAAAATATCAATGATAAAAGTGTATTGAAATGGCCAGGTGACGGTATCGAACATCTTTAATACCAGCACTCAGGAGGCAGAGACAGGTGGATCTCTGTGAATTCAAGGTCAGCCTGGTCCAGAGAATGAGTTCCAGGACAGTCAGGGTTACACAGAAAAACCCTGTCTTGAAAACAAACAAAAAAAGTCTATTGAAATGGACTAATATTTTGGGTCACAAAGACAGGCCTATTTAACTGGACTTGCCACAGCATAGCTAAAATCACAACTTCTGAAAACATTTTAAAAAGTCCTCAAATCTCTTCTCTTGCAAAACCATTAACTATCAAACACTCTTGGACATGTAGACTACTACTTTATGGCTTACAGAAAGGACCTAGCTTATTTTTTTGAATCGAAGCTAGGGAGTTTGGGAAATATTTAACTTTTTTTTTCCTTTTTAAGATTTTGTTTTGTTTTGTTTGTTGTTGTTGTTGCTTTGTGGTTTTGGGGACAGGATTTCTCTGTGTATCTTTAGGGACTGTCCTGGAACTCACTTTGTAGACCAGGCTGGCCTTGGACTCACAGAGATCTGCCTGCCTCTGCTTTCAGAGTACTGGGATTAAAGACATGCGCCACCTGGCTGTTTTCAAGATTTATTTAATGTTATGTGCATTATAAGTGTTTGCCTTCGTGTATGTATGTGTGCCAGGAGTAGGGTGCTGGACACCTTGGAACTGTCATAAACATTTGAAAACCTCCATATGGTTCCTGGGAATAAAACTTGGGTCCTTTGCAAGAGCAAGCAATTCTCTTAATTACTGAGCCATTTCTCCAGCCTTTGATTATTTAACAACTAAAAGGGGAAGAGCTGTTAAAGGAAAGAAAATACTAAATGAATCCTTTATCTTTTTAAAAGAAAAATCCTCTCTGTGTAGTCCAGGCTAGCCTTAAACTCATGACCCTCTTGCTTTGGCCTCTTGCTGAGATTACAAGTGTGCATCACTATAACTTGATCCAAATAATCTTAAAAATTAGATTTGGGAGGCTGGAGAGATGATTCAGTAGTTAAGAGCACAGGCTGCTCTTCCAGAGGACCCGGGTTCAATTCCCAGCAACCACACAGTAGCTTACAACTGTCTGTAATTGCAGTCCCATGGGAATCTGATGCCCTCTCCTGACCTCCACAAGCACCAGGCATGTATTTGGTGCACTGACATGCATGCTAGCAAAACACCCAAACACATAAAAATAAATAAATACAATGTTTGGAATAAAAAGCAATTACTTACTGATGTATGCGATAACATGGATGAACCTTCAAAACACTATGCTATGCTACGTGACAAGGGGCAGACACAAAAGACCATCTATTATATAAGTCCATTTACAATGACAATGAATCAAAACAGACGAAGATCAGCAGTTGCCTTAGATGGGATTGGGAGGTAAATGGAATATAGCGGGTAACAGGTCCATGATTCCTTTTTATAGTGATCAAGTTGTTATAAAATTGATTGCAATTATTATTGTACAATGCATTTCTACACAAATGAACTAAAAACAGCTATACAGATTAATACATACTTCAATCCTGAAAACACACAGATGGAATCTCTACATTTCAAACCTCTTATACTCTTTTTATAACAAAAGTTCTGAATTATGTGCTAACTACAGTGAACCTTGGACTACATCATAAGTAAGGAGAAAGAGTACAGCACTATGCCTATAAAAGGCTGAAATAGTAATCATTTCTAACAAGAAATAATGTAAAATGTCATTTTTTAAAGCTAGATACCTTTAAATACCCCTGTTTTAAGAGCAATCCATTCCTGGAGGGGAGAAAACAAATAAGAAAAAAGGGAAAGGCAGGCAGGCAGGCAGGCAGGCAGACAGACAGACAGACAGACAGAAAGACAGAAAGACAGGTAAGTAAGTGGTAAGCAATATAGAAAGTTACCTCTGGCCTTCACATGCACATGTGCTCATGTATCTGTGTGTACACAACCATAAAACATACACAAATATAACACACAAAATTTAAAACAAAATTCAGTCCTAAAGCACAAGGTATTAAGGGTTTAATTCCTTATAAAATCAATCAATAAATAAATATATTCTTATGAACAGTAATACTAAAGATGGGATTTGTAGGTTAAAAGGAAATAATTTATGCTCAAGTGTTTTGGTTAGGGTTACTACTGTGGTGATGAAACACCATGACCAAAAGCGCCTTGAAGAGGAAAGGGGTATTTTGTTCACAGTTCATGTAACAGTTCATCATCAAAAGCAGTGAGGGCAGGAACTCAAGCAGGGCAGGAACCTGGAGGCAGAAGCTGATGCAGAGGTCATGGAGGAGTGCAGCTTACTGGTTTGCTCCACATGACTAGCTCAGCCTGCTTTTTTGTTTGTTTGTTTGTTTGTTTGTTTGTTTGAGACAGGGTTTCTCTATGTAGCTTTGGAGCCTATCCTGGCACTCGCTCTGGAGACCAAGCTGGCCTCGAATTCACAGATCCTCCTGCCTCTGCCACCTGAGTGCTGGGATTAAAGGCGTGCGCCACCAACATCCGGCTTCTCAGACTGCTTTCTTATAGAACCCAGGACCACTATCCCAGGGATGGCACCACCCACAAGGGGCAAGGGCCATCAATCACTAATTAAGAAAATGCCCTGCATCCTATGGAAATACTTTCCTAATTGAGGTTCCCTCCTCTTAGATGACTTTAGCTTGTATCAGGTTGATATAAAACTTTCCAGCATACTAAGTAAACTTTTTAAGTTTTTTTGTTGTTGTTGTTTATTTTATGTGTATGAGTGTGTGACTGCATATGTGTGTGTGCTTGTGTGTGTGTGTTTACATACATGGAAATCAGAAGAGAGCATTGGATCTCCTCAAAATGGAATTACCAGGCAGTTGAGAGCTGCCATGTGGGTTCTGGGAACTAAACCTCAGTCCTTGGAAAGAACAGCTAGTGCTCTTAACCACAGTGCCATTTCTTCAGTCCCAAGTAAACTTTTGTTGTTGTTGTTGGGTTTTTTTTGTTGTTTTTTTTTTTGTTTTTTTTTGGTTTTTTGAGACAGGGTTTCTCTGTGGCTTTGGAGGCTGTCCTGGAACTTGCTCTGTAGACCAGGCTGGCCTCGAACACACGGAGATCCACCTGTCTCTGCCTCCCAAATGCTGGGATTAAAGTCTTGTTCCACCAACGCCCGGCCCAAGTAAACTTTTTATAAATCTTCCCACAACTGAAATATATATAGTATCTTCCAGCTCAGCGCTAACTCAGTTTCGTTGTTTGTAGAATGAAGATTCAGATGAACTTAAATTCTAAAATCATTACTCCAGCACAATTTCCTGAGCCAAGGCATTTTAGCAAGACCTTTAAGATGAGCAGAAAAAACATTCTTGCATGTCTAGGGAGCCCGAAGGAGCATCACTACCACATGCCCATCTCTTTCTTGTTCACTAGCTCCACAAGAGAAGTTTCCCCAGATATTTTCTCAAGAAGCAATGTGAAATGAGGATCAGAAAGAAATGTCTGTCTAGCAGTCATAGATTGGGATGTTGAGATCAGTGAAGGAAGATTTCACTCGCATTTATAAGAAAACACGAGAAAGAACACACACTTAAGGAATGTGGTAAACTTCATCACCAGAACATAGGAAAGAGCCAAATTTATGACTACAAGGCATTAAAATAGAGATAGGGTACTGTACCTTTGATTAATCACAGATTATACTTAGGCTTTCAGAAGCATAAATAACAGATGCATAAAATGTGTAAGGAGCTTATGATCAATTCCTAAGCTGTATTTGCTATTCTAAGAGGATTCCAAGTATTTAAAATTTAAGCCTCTTCAATAACCCTCACAGCAGTTCCCCAGCTTTTTACTTGCTCACTATGGTATTTCTGTGGCCAATGGCTTAAGAAAAACAAGTCGAGAGCTTTTTATTTAAAACAATTCTGGAATGACTCTCTCCCCATATTATACCATAGCCCTTATATCAAAATGTACCTCTATATAAATTTTATTTTTGTTTGTTTTTTTGTTTTCAAAACAAGGTTTCTCTGTGTAGCAGTTCTGGTTGTCCTGAAACTCAGAGATCCACCTGCCTCTGCCTCCCAAGTGCTAGGATGAAAGACGTGCGCCAGCACCGTCTGGCTTGAATTTTATTATTAGGTACATGCTACCACTTAAAAAAGAAGGGGACAAAGCACTTAAGATTTAATTTTTTTAATAAATATTTATTTAACTTTTATTTTATGTGCATTGGTGTAAGGATACCAGATCCCCTGGAACTGGAGTTATAGACAATTATTAGCTGCCATTTGGGTGCTGGGAATAGAACCCATGTCCTCTAGAAGAGCAGCCACTGCTCTTAACCACTGAACCATCTCTCTAGCCCAAGATTTAAATATTTTATAGATAAAATTATATAAGGTCATGTAGTATATAATCTTGAAGACAGCCTTTTCGTGAAGTTCCAGCATGCTTCATGCTTTTACTACAAATCATCTCTTTCAATAAAAACTTTGTTACTACTGGTGATTAAGAGTACATTATATCAGGGCTGGAGAGATAGTTCTGCAGTTAAGAGCACTGTCTGCTCTTCCAGAGGACCTGGTTCAATTCCCAGCACCCACATGGCAGTTCATGCCTGTCTGTAACTTCAGTTCCAGGGCATCTGACACCCTCACACAGATATACATGCAGGCAAAATACCAATGAACACAAAAATTAAAATTAAAATAAAAAAGTACATTATGTCTATGTGTGAGTATGTATGTATGTGAGT